CCCATAGGAGGAGGTGAGCTCGGGGTCTTTTTTATTCCACCATCTTGACCACTACCATCCCTGCATGGCTTTTTTTTTCCAACAGGATAATTGGGTTTCTAACATGACAGCTGACTTTTTTTTTTTTTTTTTTTTTTGGCTGTGTTGGGCTTTCATTGCTCTGTGCAGGCTTTCTCTAGTTGCAGCGAGCGGGGGCTACTCTTCCTTGCACTGCACAGGCTTCTCATTGCAGTGGCTTCTCTTGTTGCAGAGCACAGGCTCTAGGCATGCAGGCTTCAGTAGTTGTGGCACGCGGGCTCAGTAGTTGTGGCTCGCGAGCTCTAGAGAGCAGGCTCAGTAGTTGTGGCACATGGGCTTAGCTGCTCCATGGTATGTGGGATCTTCCCGGACCAGGGCTCGAACCTGTGTCCCTTGCATTGGCAGGAAGATTCTTAACCACTGTGCCACCAGGGAAGCCCGACAGCTGACTTCTTAAACCAAAAGTTTTCAGGTCTTCCTATGGCTTGGAAATGATATAACATTTCCACCGCATACTCTTGGATACAGCCAGTTATGGGTTTAGCCCAGATTCCACAAGGGAATTGATGACGCAAGGGTGTGAATCCTAGGAGATGTGCTTCATTAAGAGCATCTTTGGATTATAGATTCTGCATGATTCAAAAGACTTTTTTTTTTTATAAAATATGTCTTTCCTCTGTTTTTTAAATTTTTGAGTCATAATTAGGCATGGAGTCCCCATTCTCAGGTTTTAGAGGAATTCAACCAGGTTTTCTTTTAATACTTCTATGATACCATTTTTGACATTCAATTCTCTGATCAATTTAAAATATTTTTCCTGGTGTATGGTGTGAGGAATAGATCCATTTCCCCCCTTATGTGGCTTTTCAGTTGTCATAATGCAGGTTTTACAAGTCTGTCTTCCCCACTGATTAAAGATGCAGGCTTCATCAAATACTAAGCATTTATATGCAGTTAGGTATAGTTCTGGATGCTCTGTTCTATTGATCTGTCTATTTATGTGAAAATGCAATAATATTTTTATTATGAAGTCTTTATTATATGTATTTGTCCTGGCAGGGCTAGCTGCCCTTCATTGCTCTTCTTTTTCAGGGATTTCCTGGTGCTATTCTTGTTTGTCCTTCCAAATGAAATTTATAGTCAAATCGTCTAGATGCAAAAAAAAAAAAAAATCAGGTTTCTTCCCACTGTTTTGCTGTCCTCTGTGTCTACTCTTTTAAGGAGAATTAACATATTTCTCATATTAACTCATTTCATTCAAGAATAAACATTGTTTATCCTTCCATTTGTTCAAGCTATGTGTTCCCCAATAAGTAAAACATTTGATTTTCATATTCGTATTATGATATAGCTATTAATTTTTAATTCATTCAGTATTTTTACTAATTTTTAATTATTGTTCAGATGTTTCTTCTGCATTTATGAGATTAATAATATGATTTTTCTCTTTAGGTTGATAAATATGATGGATTTATCAATGAAATTTTTGTAATATTACATGACCTTTCATTCTTGGAATAAATACTATTTAGTTGTGATATATTACTTTATAATATATTGTTGGCTTCTGTGTACTTTTTAAATAAATTTGGCATTGATATTCTTAAGTAAAATTGAGCTGTAGTTTTTTTATGCATTCTTTTCAGGTTTTGGAATTGATGTTATACTAACATAAAAAAAAAAGTATTTGAAATTTTCCTTCCTTTTCAATGCTCTGGAATGGTATAAGTAATAAGATGATGATTTGAATTGTAAAAGGTTGTAGGATTTACCCGTGAAACCTAGGACAGGTGGAATTTTTTTTAATTGGAGCGATTTTACTATTTTCTCTGTTGTTTTTCTATTATAGTTAGCCTGTCTAGTTTTTCTGCCTCAAATTAGGCCAATTTGGTAAGTTGTCTTCTATAACTTTTCCATTTCATTTAGGTTTTTATATTTATTCATATACTTTTCAGACTTACTCCTTTTGATGATCATTTGACATTTTTTAAAAATTGTGTGTATTTGTGCTTTTTCTCTTTTTTCTTGATTACACTGGCTAATGATTTGTCTGCCTTTATTTTTTTTATTAATGCTACTGTTTATTTCTGTCTTCAAACTCATTACAAATGCAATTGTCTTAACTAGAATTATTGCTTGAGTGGTTTTTTTTTCAGAATGTTTTCCTGGTTATTATGCCCTGGGCTGCCATTTTAATTGCAAGTGTCAGAACAGTGGAATTTGCAGCAGGTTTCCTAGAAGCTGTGAGTGCCTCCCAGGTTATTATGGAAGAGACTGCGAACATGGTAAACCAAGAAAATGAGTGGGCATATTATGGTGTTGATATATTTTAAGCTTTAAAAACTATTTTTTAAATCATAGGCGTAATACATTCACATTATATCAAATTAGATAAACAATAGTTTAATGTATATTCTTGCAATGTATTTTATAGCTCTAATTTAAGTTGTGGGTGTTGACAACTGGCATGATGAAGTAATTGGACTTCTTTATTCTTTTTGAAATAGTCGTTCAAAAAAATTTCTATAGTTCTATGATTATCTAGAGTAGATACGGGCAGACACACACAGTGGAGTCAGCTGTTGGTCTTTTTGAATGAAATCATTCTCCTTCCCCTGGCTGCCTTTAGACAGAATATAGACAAAGAAGCTGCTTATTTATTTCATGTTAACCTAGGCTTAACTCTAAAAGATCTGCCTTCAAGTTTCCTTTGAATATATTTATTTATATCACTTCTTCATTTGGACTCAATGTTTTCAACTAAATTGGGAAAAGGAAGAATTATTCAATAATTTGTCTTTGACATCAGAGAGCCCTGATGGACAACACACAGAAATTAAGATATGAGAGTTTAATCTCCAGAATTAGTTGTATACGGCCTGGCTCTACCATATAAAATATGTATAAACAAAACTTCTGTAAGTTTCAGTTTCCTCATCTATAGAATGGGGATGATAATAACACCTGCCTTAAAAGGTTATCATGAGGAACAAATAAGAAGATACATGTAAGCATTTAGCACTGAGGCATGTTGTAAAAACGTGATGAACATGAATTACTTAGAAGTAAAGAATTTATAAAGCCTCTGTAGTGATATTAACAATATTTTAAATTGTTTCCACTTGTTTCAACCTGTCTTTAGGCTCTAGAAAACATATTTCACAGAAACAAATCCTACTAATCCTTTCCAGGTTTAGAATTCTTGCCAACTACTCTGATGTTTCTTGGGTTAGGGAGTATGGAAGTTTTTGTTCATTTTGTTTTCAAAATTGGAATGAGAGATACAAAAGATGGAAAAATATCTATTCAAGCCCCATAAATTTCATCTTACATGCAGTAGGGTAGCAAGTAAAATTTTGAGCAAAGGACATCACTTTGGTGAAAGAAATCTCTAAAGTGGATACATTATTAACTGTTAGGAAAAGGAACCATTTGTTCTGTCCATGTAGGAAGCTGTAGTGATAGTCTAGGATTTCAAAAATCTATTCTGGGATCAAAATGTAAATGAATGAACAGAAAAATATCTTGGAAGAACAATTGACTGTATTTGGCAATCGATTTGGACATGTAAATGAGGAAGATGTAGGAATCCAAGATAACTCTAAAGTTCTAAGCCAGGGGACCTGGAAGAATGATAGTATTATTTAGACAAATGGAAACTTGGAGCAAGCCAAACTTTATGAGCTCGTTTTTATATATAATTCAAATAGGGGAGGTAAAGGAGATTTGATTTTTTTATGTATTGTCAACGACGATTATATAACAATGAACAGAAGAAACCCTGCACTGAATCTTCCTTTATTATTCATTTTTTTGAGTTAAAATGAGGTTAGAAAATGGAAGACTGTATATTATATAAAATAATATATATCAAATTAGATATTTGATATATTTTCCTCATCCTCATCTCTTTTGGTTTTACCTCATTTTTCTGCTCTCTGAATGTGAGTTTTTCCTAATGTTAAATCTATCCTGAGTAGCTCCATTCATGCTGAAGAAGTGTCACACACATGAAGCCTAGGCAAATCTAGGTTGGGGGGATCAGGAGACACAGAGAGAGAAAGAAAGAGGAGAGAGCAGGAGTGAGAGGGAGAGCAAGAGAGAGCAAGAGAGAGTGGATAATTGAAGGGTGAGGAAATTGCATGCCCCTTCTGTTCCCAATGGTGAGTGGTGACCTCAGCCCTAGCAAAAACTCAAGGTAGGGAATGGGAATCCTTTGACTGCAGTCAAACTTAGCTCTCACCTATGTCCCTCAGGGTGAGCATCTCCCTGGGCAGAGGACAATTTTAGCATTCCAAGAAATGCATTTGCTTGGATGACATAGGCTGTAAATCTAAACCAATTACTTCTGATGTCCAGACACAAAAGTACTGATCTTCTCCAACCATGGAGGAAAAGCATGTTATATTGGACTTACTAAGAAGCAGTTCTATATCATACTCTATAGGCTATCTAAGGAAAATTTTCAGAGATTAAATTTCACTGACTTTAAAACATAACTTCTTCATAAGATGTTAACCTACTACATATGCATCATATTCTCTGTCTTCTATTTCCTTTATCTCTCCTTTTCTTCTCCTATCTCCCTCATACCCACTTCTGTCATCCATTCCAGGACTTTAAATATCAAGAGCTACATGAATCACCTTCTACAAATACTCTCTTATCTATTTTAAGAATTTTAAATTCACACTAAATTTAGCCTGGATCTGAAGTTAGAAAACATTGCTATTTTAGGTGTTTAGGTTATTAGAGTGTTTTGATGAAGTCTTTGTCAGATTATAACACATTCTAGCAAATAAATTTTATCTACTTGAAGATATTTAAAATTTTCTTATGGACTTTTCTAGACTAGTTGTAGAGAATGGCACTGATATATTCGCATCTCTGCATGACAAATGTATTATTGTCAATATGCTTCTCCATGTAATTTTGTCTTGCTTTTCAATTCTGTGCTCTTCTCTCCTTCTTTGGTCCTGATAAAGACGTGACTTAGAGCATATCCTTTAATTTTCTCCGTATTTATTCTTAAATCCAAAATAGCATTTTGACATTTTCATTTTCTAGCATGCCTTCCTGGATTTTATGGTTTGAATTGTGCTCACATCTGTGACTGCAAAAACAGAGCCAACTGTAATGCAGCAGTTGGACAATGCATTTGCCCAGCAGGTTTCCACGGTAGCCAATGTGAAAAAGGTATAACCAGGGTGTTTTTAAGCGTTGAATGTGGGAATTCTGTGTGACTGTGAGGTCTTTCCATCTGAGGGCAAACGTGTAAACCCGAATCTGAACTATGGAATAATCACCTGAGCTTCTGATTTGGACATTAAAGTGACAGGAATTCACTCTACAAACAGTATAATGAGTCTTGATTTTGTTGCTGATTGGTCAAAATTTTTATTTTGCCCTAAATGAAACTATTTAATATGACAAAACACTACGAAAGTAGTCTTCAATGGACAAAGATTCTACTCTAAATGAGAAATATTTCATTAAATGCCTTTTAAAGAATGACATGCATTGGGTTCAGTGGTACTGAAACAGATTCGAGGGCTTTATGAAAAATATTTAAAGTTGTGAATTAGGCATTTATCAGTAGAAGTAACGGCAGCCATGAATGTGGATGAAGATATAGAGGTGAGAATTTGGGCTACTCAGTTTGAAATAAAATATTATGAAGCCCTTGTCGATTCAAAACAATGCCAAACCACATCGTTCTCAGTAAAGAACTCCAAGTCCCATTTTAGTCTATATTATGTTTGCTCTTGTGTATATACGGTTACAACTCCAGTAACGATAATGATAATATAATGATAGTGGTAATTTGACTTTGAATCAAAGTTCTTACCATAAAAAGGAGCTATAAATTAGTCCCATACAGTGTCCTCATGTCACTAGAACTTTACATGTAGTGACTCTTGTCCATCCTTTATTCACTTATTCATTTATTATTTAGTGATTCGATACAATGTGCATCTATTATGTGCCTGTTCTCTGTTAAATTCTGGGAACATAGTGAAGCTTACCATCTTCTGGAGAAATAGACAGTAAATAAATAATATTTTAAGGAAAACTATTTAAAGCAATACACTTGGCTGGGCCACTCAGTCTCATTCCTTAAATTCCTGTCTTCAAAAAGCTTACATACATTCTTAACTGGTACAAACCGATGTTGAAGTAACCCAACTTTAAGGCCCAAGTGTGAAACCATGTATAAAATGAAGCTTCTTTCTGAGAATTCCAAAAATTTCCTCTCTTCTTCTGACCAATCAATCTCACTTTATCATCCCACTTTGCTCTTGTGGAAATTGTATCTTTTTGGTTTTTTTTTTTTGCGGTACGTGGGCCTCTCACTGCTGTGGCCTCTCCCGTTGCGGAGCACAGGCTCCGGACGCGCAGGCTCAGCGGCCATGGCTCACAGGCCCAGCCGCTCCGCAGCATGTTGGATCTTCCCGGACTGGGACACGAACCCGCGTCCCCTGCATCGGCAGGCGGACTCTTAACCACTGCGCCACCAGGGAAGCCCCCGGAAATTGTTTCTTTAATCTCAATTTAGGTGCATCACTGACAGCTCAAGGAGTTAATTTTTCAGTGTTTCTCTTTCCTGGGTAGTGTTCGCCTGGAATATTTGGAGAAAATTGCCATCAACTTTGTGATTGTGAAAGAGAAAGCTCCTGCCGCCCAGTAACTGGGACAATACTATATCTATGTATGTATGTAAATATCTGTATCTAGTCCAGAATAAGGAACCTCCAGAGGCTCATTAAGAGTCTTGTATTCCTTCCTACCCCTGCTTCTTCCCTTTTGGGTAGACTTATAGGATAAGGCGAAGGGGTTATGAGTAGTGACTCGGAATCCTTTAGGATCTTCCAACTCAGGAGCTTCTTGATGTTGACATGTCTTTTCTGCAAAGCTGCTTCATTAAAGTCTCTAATTCTTGTGTTTCACTGCACTACAAATTTCCTGAGAGTCACATCCATGTTTACTTGTCTTTTATCAAACACGTTTAGAACCAAGTCTAGCACATGATAGCCTTCAGCAAATTTTTGTTGAGGGAAGTTTTGCTTTCCTTCTCCACATTCTTCATGGAGTCACAGTAGACAGAAATATTTGAACTTTGTGAAATCTAAACTAAATCTGTCAGAATAAACATCCACATGACATCTTGGTGAAGCCACGGTAACATGTCACCAATGAAACACTCACTAATAGCATTGGTGCTTGCATTTAAATCCTTAAGAAAACCAGTAATATGTATTGAATGCATATTATATGCCAGGCATTTTCATTTATACTAGGCGCCTTTACTATTATCACCATACCCATTTTATAGAAGAGGAAGCTGGGAGCTGAAGCACAAAAAGGTTAAGTAACTTGCCCAAGGTTACACAGCTAGTATGTGGGAGCTTGGGGATTTGAAACAAGCAATCTGGGCCCAGAGCTAGACTTTTTAACATCCCCACTGTACTGCCTCTCAAGGAAAAGAAAGGGATAGGACTTTTCGGTTGTCAGTCTGCATTGTCCATTAACCACACATGCTACTTAATTTAAATTTAGTTTAATTTAAAATTCACCTTGGGCTTCCCTGGTGGCGCAGTGGTTGAGAGTCCACCTGCCGATGCAGGGGACGCGGGTTCGTGCCCCGGTCCGGGAAGATCCCACATGCTGCGGAGCGGCTGGGCCCGTGAGCCATGGCCGCTGAGCCTGCGCGTCCGGAGCCTGTGCTCCACAACGGGAGAGGCCACAACAGTGAGAGGCAAAAATTCACCTCTTTAGTCTCACATGACATTTCAAGTGCTCAGTGGCCACACACAGCTAGTGGCTACAGTATTGGATAGCTCAGCACAGAACATTTTCATCATTGCAGAAGGTTCTATCAGACAACAGTTAGCAATGACTTAAAACTAGCCACGAAACCAGGAGAGCTTATAGACAGGCCGAAAATTAAAGCCTCACTCTATGGAATTTCTGTGGACTAAATTTGCTATCACATAGTCTCTTTCATCCACAAGTAAATTGCCACGTGACAGTGGATGCTATGTATTAACATGCCCATTCTAGGTGGGCACCTCAAGGCCTCTCTTGTCGTGAGCTCTTTGGGGTACCCATGGCCTACAACAGACATACTGCAGGCTCTTTTATTTGCATTTTTATTTTCAATTAAGCACAGTTCATCTGCGATATTAACTGTGAACAGCTGTGTCTATGCAGGCACTATAAAGATAAAAGACCTCATTTTAATTTGAACTCTGGTAAAGAACCTATTACACCGCCATAATATTAATTCGTAAAAGAATGTAGCAGCTTTCTATTGGATTACTTCCCCATCCCCTCGGTAAATTAACATTTTCAGACATTCAAACAGATGCCTTGAATACACATCGTTATTAACATGAAAATGTGGTAATTTTGTAAATTAAAATCAGATTCTGAACTGCTCAGTAGAGAACCTGACTCATAACTCTTTTTCAAACAAGAAAACTAGGTCTTACCACCAAACTAAGTAATTCTCCCACACACTGGGCACAGGTGGTTATGTTAGGTTAAATTTGAAATGACACATAGTTTTTTTTTTTTACTTTCATGAAGTTTGATGATTTAAAGAGAAGATTCATTTCAGAGCAGTATTTGCGTCACCTCCAAAGTTCCTTTTACCTACCTGTAGTTCCTTGATTTAGGAAGGGATTGAATTACTGTTTGCTCACACTGAAACTCTGTAAAAAAATTAATTGCAAAATTGATATATTTTCCATTTATCTCACATTTAAAATATAACTAGTTAATTAAGACGAGAGCTAGACCACACTGTAACCTACCTTCATTATCTGAGAAAGAAAAATAAAATCAAATAAACATCCACTGCTCGTGGAATATTCAGGGTGACTCTCCAATCCAGCAAAGAGAATTTTGAGGTAATAAAGAAATGTTTAACAAAATTTGCTCAGACTCAGAATTTGCTCTAGTACCTGTATCTTTATATTTATATCAATATCTCTAAATTTTCCACTTTCCACTTCCTGATTTGGGCTTTCTTCTACATATGCTTGATAGCTTGTGTCTTTCCACATCGTAGTGCAAAATGAGGAATGAGCACTACATGAGAATTTAGAAATCCAGCTCTGTCATTTACCAGAGATCTAACGTTTGAGAAGGTCCCTTAAGACATTCCAAACCTCAGTTCATCTCTTTCTAGAATGAGAGAGCTTACCTCACTGCCTCTCCTACCTCAAAGGTGTTTGTTAGAACCAATTAAGATAATGTATTAGGAACCCATTTTGAAAAATGGCATAGGGCTAGCTGACTGTTATTATTGCAAAGTTAAGTTTCTCTGGTCCTTAAACATTGGTAAATTGAGTTATTTCCCAGTCTTGCCTGACTGCCTAGGAAATGTGAAACCATTTTCTGTTTCCATGGGCTGGGCTTGGCTTTCTTCCCAACCTCACAATCCTTCAGAAACAGAACCTGTTAATTCTCTGCTAATTCTCTGCTGGATATCAGACTAAGACCAAATGCACAGGCAGGGGTGTGATGTTTGAGGGGGCCCCTTTTAGTCCACGTTTCATTGTTTTGATAAAGCTAACACTTTTTAATTCCTTTTCTTCATTTCTCTACTGGTTGCAATCACAATGCAATTCAACTTAAAGATAGTTATAACCCTTTAGTACATATAGTAGTATTTTACACAGGAGATCTATGGCCCTTTTGACATATTTTAAGAGATGAAAGAGTTGAATTTAAAGTCATTTCCTTTTCAGTAACTTAAGCACAAATAATTGTGTTTTCAACCTAAAGACAAACTTCATATATTGTGTATTCAGGGCGAGTTTTGCCTCTTTCTGGTCTCAAGACAGCTAATCCATTTTCTGTGTGTCCCTCACAATGCACTGCTATTGAATAATCTAATTCTGAGAAGGCACTTTAAAAACATAAGTTGCTGTCCTGTCTTCTCGTCTTTTTGATTTTGCCACTAACTTCCTTGCCTCCCCAGCCTCCTCCTGTTTTCCATTAAAGTCCTTACTTTTCTTATATAACATTCTAGCATGGGAAAAAGATACCAATGGTTAACCAGAATTCTTTACAAGCCTATCCTTATCTTATTGCAATCCAAGACATAGTAGTAAAAAGACTGTATGATAGAAAAGCATATTTGAATTGGCTTTATTTTTATTTTTCCCTCACAGAATGCAGGTCAGGCCAGTACGGACCCAACTGCTCTCTGAAGTGCCAGTGTGTCCACACAGCTCACTGTGACCCTCTCAATGGGAGCTGCACTTGCCCCCCACCCCCCAAGAGAATGGGTCCAACCTGAGAGGAATATGGTGTGGACAATCCTCAATAGCCAAACACTAACAGCTTCTCCGTGGACGAATAGAATTTTGCTGAGGTTCACCCGTGGTTCATCATCTTAACTTTGGCAGAGAAATGTACTTACTCAACCATCTTCAGCCCAGCCTCGCCTGTTGTGAGGTGAAAAACAGGACGTCTCAACTTTATGGCCTCCGAGCATAAGTTCCATTCTCTAGCCTACCCTTCCCAACTTCCTTTTGCTGCATAACATACCCAAGAAAATGAGAATGTTTTTTCAAGATCCCAAATCGTAGTAACATTTTGGACTAATAAATGAAACTTTTTATATGCACAGGAGGTATTTAAATTTGGAAGTAAGAACTGCTTTTCAGTTCAGGTTGGACTGCACTGAAATATTCACACCTATTTACTGAAGACCTCAGTGGCCATTAAGTAGCTGGATCCTCTTTAGAAATGTCTAGAATTTCATCTATGTGTCCTCGGTATCCTGCTTCACAGCCAAGTCAGCTTCAGATTGTTAATGCGTTGTATTTCAAACATGACTTTTGGTGTGGGAGGCTATTAAGACTTTAGCCACGTAAATATCAGGGTAAAAGTATGACGTGCAGACTTACAATGAATCATCAAAATGTTTAGTGGTGTTCTCGCCATCACTGGTCAGCAGACAGGAAGAAAAAGTGAGTAGAAGTCATCAAGGCAAGTGCTTAGCCTGCTCTGAGGGACACAAATTTCCCATGGAGTAGGGCCTGACTGGAAGGAGGATTTTAATCTACACTGTAATCTTGACCCAAATTGTTCATCGTTTAGGTCAACTCTACAACATTTGTAAGCATAAGCCCTGTGATGAGCCCCAGAAAGACACAGCAATAAATATGATTGTATTTTTGCTCTCAACTGGTTTTTACGTATTTAAAATTTCAGACGACTGGTTAATTCACTTTAGAGGACAAAAATTTTCTTGATTGGAAATGTTGTTACTCATGTTATCCATGCTTTATTGGGATAAACATAGAGAATACTGAAATTATATGACTAGATATTTAACTTATATACTGTCTAGAGTAGTTTTTAAATCAAAGTCTATTTAAGATAGACTTGACTAAAGGATTTATTATGAAAAATGCTTAGTGTTATCAATTCAGTAAAGTTTCTGAGCTTTACTTAACATTTATCTTCCTATATCTCAGCACATTTAAGAGATATAGCATACCTATAATAGGCAGCCATGTCAAATTTAATGTTATTAAATAATATGAAGGACTTGATTAGATAACTTCCTAAGAGATTACTTATAAATTTGCTTTGGTCTTAAAAAAGCTGCAATCAGCTTATCCTTTTCTATTCTCTATCTACAGTATTTAAAATTAAAGTTTTTTGTTTATATTTAAATTCATTTAAATTATTTTTATCCCATCAATGGAAAACTATGCTTTATTCTCAATATTTGCTCATTTTCCTTACCTTTTATTTTTCAAGCTTCTCTCAGCTATCCTCATCTGACCTGCAAAGACAATAAGATATATAAAAGCAGCATTCTTTCTTGGGCTGCCATCCACCACTGGACTCCCTTCATTTCAAGACTTAAAAAAAACAATGACTGCAAACAGGGAAGAAAAGCAAGACACCAGGTTTCTCTTCCTTACTAGAGATGTTTGTTATCACCAGTAAGACAGACAAGAATTTGGCACGAAAAAAAAGTAAGAGATTTCTTTAGGTTGAGTTTTTTTCTTATATACTGCTTAACTCTTTATAAATGAGAAGCCATATGTAAACTGTTAAACATGATTCTTGGCAAATGGCAGATGTTCCATATGTTTTCTCCCTTCATCCTCTTTTCCACCCCAAGCTCTAAAACTAACTATGAGAGTGGGAAAGCAAAGTCATAGCATAAACCTGTATTTGCACAATCACGTGACCCTTTAGACAAAGTGAATTTCACTTTCATTTTTATACCAGTCAACAGGAACCAATGCAAGTTACTGTAGCCCCTTTTCTTTACAAAATTGGTATAGGTTTCCCTTTCATATCAAAAAAGAAAACAGAAAAATATTTAAAATCCAGAAAGTTTCCATTTTACTTTTAGTCACCTTGAAGAATCTTAAGTATGACTCTACAAAAGTTAATAGTCATGTGGTAAGTCATCTGTTCTAAAAATATTGCAGTTCTTCTCTTTGAGGACACTAGTAGATGTCTAAAAATCATTGTAGGCAATGACATTTCATTCATGGACCAGCATATAATAAATGTTAATCTTAAATAATTTAACAGATGGAAAAGTATAAAATAGAATTTCCTTGCAAAATCATATAACAGAATTTTAAAATTCATTTTTTAAATAATTGGCATGTTAAAATGCTTTAAATTAAGAAAATATAATGACCCACATTTCTGAATAAATAAATACAGTATATGTTTTACTACTATAAGGATTTACCTGAGCTTTCTACATGTTAACAGCTATTCAGGTACAGTAAAGTGTAATTTGGCTACCAAGATATAATTTGCACAAAATTTTAAAAAATTCAACTGTTGTTTAAAATGAAGCATGATTTAATAGGCATGTCCTCTTTATTTATTTTTTTAAAATCTTTACTGGAGTATAATTGCTTTACAATGTTGTGTTAGTTTCTGCTGTATAACAAAGTGAATCAGTTATATATATACATATATCCCCATATCCCCCCCTTCTTGTGTCTCCCTCCCACACTCCCTATCCCAGACCTCTAAGTGGTCACAAAGCACCGAGCTGATCTCCCTGTGTTATGGTGGCTGCTTCCCACTAGCTATCTATTTTACATTTGGTAGTGTATATATGTCAATGCTACTCTCTCACTTCGTCCCGGTTTACCCTTCCCCCTCCCCATAACCTCAAGTCCATTCATGTCCTCTTTAAAGTCCAACGTCAAATGAGAATCATTGTCATTGGGTAGAAATACGTTATATTATTCCTTCTACTTTCCCTCCCTATATAATCTGCCCCTTAAATGTAGACATGCTGATCCCAAAAGAAATTCATCCATCCATAATAACCCCTTTTCAAAGGTGCCTATGCTGTGATGTTTCATTCTCTCTCATTTAAAATACAACATCAGAGTGGGGATTACTATGCTTTTCTGCGATAATATAGCTCAAGTTTAAAGAAAAGTGAGCAGATGTATAGAAGTGCGCTGGCTAATTTCCATCTAAAAAGTTTCCATCAAAAAAGCCTGGGATATACCATTTCAATTTAACACCTAACTTTCCCCTTACTCTTTCTAACTTCTACGTTCATTTATCTAGTTTTCCAGATGAGACAGCTATTTGACACAGGTTAAATTATTTTTAGAGAACTTGGAAATAATTCGAAGAGTTAATGGCAAGAATGGCATTTCCTTTGTTAGAAATAGCAAAGAGGGTTTGGCTTCTCCTGGGCCTCTTTCACCTTGGTTTCTCCAGGACCTGGTAATACAAATGTAGCAATAATTTAAAAAAGCATTTTGATGAAGTGAACAAATAATAGCAACTGTCTACACTCTAGGAGTTATGTATGCAATTCAGTTGAAATAACTTTTCATGGTTCTATAACAAAAAAAAAAATCAAAGTAGCTGAGCTTTTAAAGTAGATTTCAAAGCGATTCCAAAGTTTTGACTCTTTTTGCTAATCATGTGGAAACTATGTTCTACTCTTTCTGCTTATATTTTAGTTTTTCTAAATCAAAAAACACAAAAACCAATAATTAAGGCCTAGGAAATATATTTAAAAGCAGTAGATATCTCTTTTCTATATTCTTACAAATACTGGCATGCTCTTTCATCTCTAAATCTTTTGTCAGGATTATAGGAAACACCATTTAATCACTCCTCATTTTAATGTTTATGTGCAAATAGCACAAATTTTGAAGAATATTAATTCAAATGACAAATATTAACATTTTAATTAATATTCTTCTACTGGATATCTTAAAAATATGTAGAAAATTTCATAATTCCTCTCCTTGGAAAGAATGCAAGAATATCTATGAAATATAATTTTATTGCTCAGACTTCATGAGAAAAACTCAACAATAGTCCATCAGACAAAAAGATTCATGTGAAGAATTGGATATTAAGTGCTTAAGTGTTGACAATATTAGTCTCTTGAAATGTAGAGATTGGTTTGTGAATAAAATTCCATCTGTAAGATTTGGATGAATTTGGTAGCTAGTGTTTAGCATGTATTTGATGAATAATGGAACTGGTAACTGATTAGATATATAAATAGTCCACTGGTAATATTTCAAATCATTTATTCATTGAAAAATGGCCTTTGCTAGTGTCACATTTTAACTATTACCTAAAAAGCAATTTTCTGTATTTTTTAACTCTCTTCTGAATTTACTAATTCACTCAGAAATATTTACTGTCTACAACACTAGATACTATTGGAGGCATGAAAAAATAGTGGTGAGCAAGATGGATGTGTTCCCTGCCCTCATAAACTTACAGTCTAGTATACAATATTAGCCAAGGAGAACAATGTTTTTAAACGTTCTTAGCTTTGCAGTGAGTTTTATAGTTCATCAATCCTTTTATAGTTCATTAATCCATTCCTAAGTCTATTTCTCATAAATGTGTTATTTCTCCTATATTAATACACACTTTGATAAACCAAATGTATTCTACCTAACCTTAAAAAATCCACACACAAGGTTTTACTCTTAATGCCACTACAGGAAATGAAATTTTTTTTTTTTTTGCGGTACGCGGGTCTCTCACTGTTGTGGCCTCTCCCGTTGCGGAGCACAGGCTCCGGAGGCACAGGCTCAGCGGCCATGGCTCACGGGCCCAGCCGCTCCGCGGCATGTGGGATGTTCGCGGACCGGGGCATGAACCCATGTCCCCTGCATCGGCAGGCAGACTCTCAACCACTGCGCCACCATGGAAGCCCTAGCTAGTTCCTTTTTTTAGGAGCGTTTTGAAAAACAAGTGTCCAAAGAAGCACCATTTGTGAAAAATGAGAATACATGTATACTTGAGTGAGTCCTCAAAATCATGCTTGGTCTGGATATCCTGATCACACAATTTTATGGTGTTTCTAGTAACTGCTTGAGAGGATTCTAAGCAAGGCCTATATTAGTTTATAGTTTCCCACAGATTTTCTATGAGCCAGTATTTCTCAAAATGGAGCTTTGAAATGTGAAGTATGATGTTGATGAAACTCTTAAAGAGTTCTGCCTTTCTTGTTTGTCTAATTAATATGAGAAATTGAGTAAATGCTTTTTTAAACATTAAGGACAATTAGGAAGATGTGAAATAAATTGTATTCTTTTTAAATGAAATATTATAAAAGTTATACAGAAATATATGTTAGAAAATAAAAGGCTAAGGTTTTGCTAACATCTGGGCATTTTATAGTAGTTTTATATACCATATTTTGAACAACCCATGGGGATTATTATAAATGTGTTAAAAATTCCAAAGCAAGAATGTTTAATAGCACACTGGAATGAACATAATTTCTTTTTGAGAATTGCCAAATGGTTACATAAGTTGTTGTCATACCATAATTGAAGTATGTAGACTCTAGTGATACTAGAGTTATTATGATCTATTATTCTTCACTAATGGTCATCACACCATTTATTAAAAGTTTAACATAAATTAACCCCAATTCTATACACACACACACACACACACACACACACACACACACACAGACCTGTTTATGCTGATGGTGGTGAAAAGTTGTGGAGAATTTCCGTCTGGATTATATAGTTTAGACACTTTCTGTTAAAACTCCATTAAAAATTCCAAATTATTACAAATAAATGTATAGTCTGTAGTATTCAGAAAAATCATCTTCCTCACTTGTAAACACCTCCAGTTCTATGTGACTTTATGTATATACTTATTAAAATTTAAAAATTAATACATTGCAATCCCATATGAATCACAATTCATACCGGTTCAGGCTAAAATACATCTTCCATTCGTAATATGAGATACCATAACCTAGCTATATGATGTGTTAGATAACCAAGCAAAACAAGGGTGCAACACTTCTGGAATAGAGAATTCTGTATACTTGGAATCATAGAAGCTCAGAATTGGAAAAGACCTTAAAGCTCCCCTAGTCTCTTTTTCTTAGGCAAGGAAACCAAGAATCACAGGACCAAAACTTTTTCACCTCTTATCTCCCGTCTTATGTCTTTCATCTTTTGCCTTTTGATTCTGCCTTTTCCAAGACATATGAAAATTCTTCTGGCTTAGGAGAGTCAGAGAACTTTGCTTTACAGAAATTCCTTTGAATTCTAGCTTTGGTGTCATAGAGCTTCCCAACTTTCAGTGTCACCATTTATTAGATATTGATGCTATTTCTGGGAGCAGTAGTTTCATACAGATATAAGGAATTGAAGCCAAGGAGAAGTTCATAGTCCTGTAATGATTTCACTGCCCTGTGAATTTTAAACATTTTTATATTGTCTTTGGCATATATTATTCAAACCTTATATTTTATATGTTTAAAAGACAGTTTAGCCTACATATAACAATATCTTAATTAACCACAACTATCAATTTCTATAATGAATGATAAGCACAATTCCTAGATTCAATCCACACAAACATTTAAGTTTAAATATGTAATTCTTAGCAATTATACTCCAATAAAGATGTTAAATAAATAAATACCTACATAAATACAAAAATAAAAATAAATATGTAATTCTTTAAGTTTATT